CCCCAGACCCTGGTGGACAACAGTCCCCGGTCTCATGTGGTGAGAGTAAATGAAATTTCGGCAAACAGAACTAGCTTGATAATTTTCATTTCCATCAAATGATTTTGAATCCTGTCAACAAATGTTCATCACCTACAGCACGATCCGTTTTACGGAAGTGTTTCTAAGGGGAAAGCCTCTTCTCTCTAAAAAGAACATGGCAGCACAGCTTATGTTTGTAAAGCTGCATGTGAACAACCAACCATTAGTCAGACCAGTCGACTGTGAGCTGCTCCATACACCAAAGTATCCTAGAGTCAAATGTAAGGCCATCTGTACATCAGCTGAAGCTTGGCCGAAACTGGGTCATGCAGAAAGACAATGGTCCCAAGCACAGCAGCAAATCTACAACAGAATGACTGACAAAACAAAGACTCAAAGTGCTGCAGTGATCCAGTCAAAGTCCTGACCTCCTGATGCTGTAACTTGATGCCATGTTTAATCCTAACAAAACTAGAAATTAAAACCCTTGTTTTGTGGCATTCCTGTTAAAAGACTCATGCTGTGTTTGTGTGCAGAACAACGGTGAATGTAGCAGGAACGCTCGATGTGAGTACATGGGCATGGGTCAGAGGAACTGCACCTGCCACAGAGGCTATATAGGTGATGGCATCAATTGCCGGGGAAGCACCAACTCTGTAAGTCACATGACCTTCAACTTCCTGCTTTCCTTTGAGCGCCCGCTCCTCCCCACTCCTCTCCCCCTAACATTGCACTGTTTTCTGCTTTACAGGAAGTCTCCAGTCAGAAAGAGAATGCCTTCTTTCGTCAAATGATGATGGTGAGCCTCTGCCAGACACTGAAAATAAAACTTCACCATTTATAAAGTGAAGTTTGACTTTCAAAGAGTGCACACGATTAAATTCAGGCAATTAAGATAGTAAAAGTCCAGATATAATTAGATGCCTTTTATTTTACCTCAAAGAAAGCATTTGCATATATTTTATTGATTTTACAGACTGCCTCCTCTATTAATGAAGTAATGAGTGTCTAAGCTGATTACCTCTGTGGTCAGAAACAAAAACTGTTATGCCTGTGATCTAGAAATTAATCACAGAGCGCCAAGGTGAAGGATGTCTCAGTTTCTAAAATGCATCTGGAGGCCAGAGAGGAGAGGCGGCTGCAGGAGGAGCTATAATCCAGACTGCACAGGTGTTTTTACCTTCAGTCTGTGATACAGTTCAGATGTCACATCAAATTGGCATCCAAGGCAATGATGTCTCATTTCGATAAACACCTGATGCCTTGACTCCTCTCTCCTTGTGACTCTTCCTCGCTTCCTCCACTTGCATGTGTGGTGGGAGGGCTAAGATGCGAGGAGAGGAATCGAGGAGGAAGAATTTAGGAAATGAGAAAATGGACATTGGGTCAAAAATAGGAATGAAAATAAAACCAGGAACCAAAACTCAGTATCACTGTGAGACCTTAACTTATTATTCATCCTTGATTTTATACACATATTTTATAAATTTGTTGCACTGAGCTGCTTTTGTAAGTCACTGTGTGGGAAAATAGCTGGAAAAAAATTAAAGTAAAAAAAAAAAAACCCTCCTGGACTTGTTTTGGGATGAATACTTTTGAGCCATCTGATTCTCATCCATTGTCAATGTTTTTGTGCTTCCTAGATGTCAGGCGTTTCAGGTCTTTATGGTGATGGACCATACACTGTCTTCGTCCCGGTAGAGGAAAATAACAACATCTCCATTGTGAGTGCAGCAGCTGCTGCTTTTTATTGTTTCGTGTGACATTAACATCTCCAGTCTCACCTTAAATGTGTGCCACCCTACCCTAGCTGTATCACTTTAGCATGTGGCTTTGATTGTTTTTGCTTTACAGTACTGACTTGTGTGTGTGTGTCTAGGTTAATGTTTGGAAGCAGAACGGTCATATTGAGGATCTGGTTCGTTCCCACATCGTTTCCTGTGAGATTCTGACTTCGAATGACTTCAAAACCACTGAGCGTGCTGTCTCAGTATCAGGACACACATTGCACTTCAGCCTGATAGGGGTAACGCACATACACAGATTATTAACTCCTCAGTAGAACAGAAGTAAATGTAGCTTCACAGATATGGATTTAAATGTGTAAAACAAACATTGAGAACTATTTAATTTTTTTCAAGTCACACTTGACTTTTTCTCACTCCAACCACTTTATGCCTTATTAATCCTTGGAGCACAGCAGCTGTACTCAGCTTTATAAAGGACCAGTCACAGCATCATTTGAAAATGTAAAATTATTGAGCAAAATCCATCCATCCATCCGTTTTCTGCCACTTACAGTAGCTTGCAAAAGTTTTCGGCCCCCTTGAACTTTTCCACATTTTGTCACCTTACAGCCACAAACATGAATCAATTTTATTGGAATTCCACGTGAA